TTCAATGCTCAAGCGGGATCCCTGAGCGAATTGCAAATGCTTCTTCGGGGATCACGTGCAATCTCTATCGGAAAATTCGTCCAACCGTCGCATCGACGTCGATCAATTCTACACCCACATGCAAGAAAAGGTCCAATTAGCGGGAAGAAGGTGGGTCGTGTCACGCGTCACAACAGGACAGCAGTAACAACGACCGGCCGTTAGACTGCTCGCGTCGGCCTCATCCCCTATCGGCGCAAGGCGAACAAACATCAGCCAATCAGGCAGCGTCACATTTCTACATGACTGGATGACCTATATAAGGAAACGGACACTCGTAAGCGCTCACTCAGGTACTGCGTTGGCAGCATCACCTCGATTGGTGATGAAACATTTGCACTACAATTGCCAAACAACTGAACACCAGGCTATGCTACCCGAGCTCCAAAACAACAATCAGCACCGTTGTTTACAGAACTGTCACACATATATACATTCGTCTGAGGTCGGACTGTGTGCCAAGCAAATCATGATACCTTAATCTTTTTATCGAAAGAAAATCGTTCCGCAATTTGCATGTGGGCCGAATACTGCCAAGTTGCCCAAGTCAATGCAGGTTGATTTTCTTGAGGAATCCACAACATAATCGGCTAGACGAAGCCTGACCCAGAAGACAGCGGGGCAGTTTGTCAGCCGCAATTCATTCGGAGCTGGTGTCCAGTTCATCGGATCGTACACCCTTTGGACGGGGTCAAACGTCCAGTGTGCCCAATTCACCTTGATATCCAATTGAGCCGGTGACCAATGCCACAACCAGATGCAGGATACAGATAGATTGTTGGTTTTCGAACACCGCTGTCTACGCAGCATTGTGCGACAATAATAGATGTGAAGTCAGCTGCATCATGGTGACTGTGGCGAGACTTTTTCCTGTACTATTCCCGGTGGGTCTTTTGCGAAGTCAAATTTTATGAGGAACAGTTTTGTAGTTCTGTTCGCCACTCTTATTTAATTGAGTGTGGCAAACAGAACTGGAGTAGATAGTAGACTTCTATACAGTACGCTGGTTGGGACATGTGCTACACATGTCACCAGATTGCCAC